GGATAGCCACCTTTACATCCTCGATTTGCCCTAGTGCTCGCATTCTTGTGCCAGTTGACGTGATTACCACCGTAGACGATGGTTTGTCTATTTTCAACCTTAATTTTTCCATGAGCTTTTTCGTCATTATACTTACTGCAGGCCCGAATCTAATACTGCTCGAATGGGGTTGCCTCTAATTCTAACGTAGCAATGGGCGGCCATCGTTCTATAGGTGTCACTAAAGTTCACCACTTGAGGCTCTTGGACTTCTTGTAGTACTCGAACTTCCTTAGGCTCCAGGGCTACAAGGGGTCGTCGCATTACTTGGGCTAAGTTTCGCCTTTGGTTCGGGTATTGAAGCATTTGACCGTAGGTAGCGTTCACCCTTGTGTTCAACAAATCTTCTGCAATATTATATGGCACAAGGCTATCTATAACGGACGGTCCCCTCCTTCTTCTCGATTTCTTGACCAGCCGTGGCTCGTCCAACTCCATAGGCTCCAGTTGGTCCCCCACATCTACTAACAATAGTTCGGGTTCCATTTGGAGTCAGAGTTTATTATCCCACTTCGCCTCGGGTTGCAGCCTAGGTTGTTTATCGGCAGTGTCGAGCTGCGGTTGCTGCCTTCTTTTGTCTACCATGTACACCTCGTTGCCGTCGTATTCGTAGTTGCAGTAGTTCACTCTTCGATCGTTATCTGTCAGTCATCGTTCCTCCTTAGGTTTCCCATACTTCTTCTCCGACATACAGGATCGAGCAATATGCCCTTTTTCGCCGCATCGGTAACAGACGATATCCCTCTTGGGCTTATACGTTCCTTTACTATACCATTCCTTATCGCGCGTATCCTGTTCTTGCTGACTGGTTGCCGCAACGTAGTTAACCGATAGTTGCTGTACCTGCTTGACTAACGCTTCTATCAGTTCGTCCTTTTTGTCAGTGATTACTGAGGTCTCATGCAGGTGGGCACCATAATATTTGCTGACTTCAACTTTCCTGGCAACCGCGATCACTTCGTTGAGATTATTTGGGGACGTTACTGCTACAAAGGTCGCCGTTTTCCCTTTCAACCCGCTTAAAAACATTCGTACAATATACTGGATGGGTAGGGAGTCAGTTGGGTACACACAGCTTAACAATTTCTTAAATTTAGTGGCATAGGCGTCAACCTTTTCCGATTCGAGTTGGGTGAGGCTGTTCAACTGAATATGCCACTTGTGCTGTTTTTCTGGGGTGGCAAAAAAGGCAACCAATAAGTGATAAAAGCTCCTATCTGGATCATCTTCACCCTTCCATTCATCTATATTGGCTTTGTTATCCTTGTACCATTCCGCTGCCAATCCCTTAAGGTAGCCAGAAGCTATTTTCAGCTTCCGTTCATCTGTCCAATTATTCACCTCAGCAGCACACTCAAAATCGTCGAACCATTCAATTGGGTCCTTGTCTTCACTACCAATGAAGCTTCTAACCTTTCATGTGGTTCGTTTCCCTCGATCCGGACCCGTTTTCTTTCATGATATCTTTAGCTGCGTCCTCGAAAGACTTGGTCATATTTTCAATTAATTCTCTGAGCTGGGTTGCATTTATGATGGCAAGGCTAAACGGTGCAAAGATTCTTTCCAGGATGTCTTCTAATACTATTCTTTCACTCAGTCAGGTAGGTTTCCTAGTTATTTAAGCCTTCTTTTTATTAATTCAATTTTTCGAATCGGGGAGAGGGGGGGGGGTAGTGAACATCGTTTTCGGATCTCACAGTCACCACCAAAATGTTGGGTTCGGAAGATTGCGACTCTGTCGCTCCAAAATTCTAAACCTTTGTAGTGGTAACGTCCCCAAATAATCTCAATGAAGTGATCGCGGTTGCCAGGAAAGTTGAAGCCGGTGAATATTATGGTGCCCACCTGCACGAGACCTCAGTAACCCCTGACAAAAAAGATGAACTGATAGAAGCATTAGTCAAGCAGGTGTAGCAACTATCGGTTAACTACGTTGTGGCGACAAGTCAGCAAGAACAGGATACGTGTGATAAGGAATGGTATAGTAAAGGAATGTATAAGCCCAAGAGGGATATCGTCTGTTACCGATGCGGCGAAAAAGGGCATATTGCTCGATCCTGTATGTCGGAGAAGAAGTACGGGGAACCTAAGAAGGAATGATGACCAACGGATAACGATCGAAGAGTGAACTACTGTGACTACAAATACAACAGCAACGACGTGTACATTGTAGACAAAAGAAGGCAGCAACCGCAGCCCAACACTGCTGATAAACGACCTAGGCTGCAACCCGAGGCGAAGTGGGATAATAGACTCCGACCCCGAATAGAACCTGATCTATTGTTAGTAGACGTGGGGGACCAACTGGAGCCTATGGAGTTGGACGAGCCGCGACTGGTCAAGAAATCGAGAAGAAGGAGGGGACCGTCCGTTATAGATAGCCTCGTGCCATATAATATTGCAGAAGATTTGTTGAACACAAGGGCGAACGCTATCTACGGTTAAATGCTTCAATACCCGAACCAAAGGCAGAACTTAGCCCAAGTAATGCGATAACCCTTGTAGCCCTGGAGTCTAAGGAAGTTCGAGTACCACAAGAAGTCCAAGAGTCTTAGATGGTGAACTTTAGTGATGCCCATAGAATGATGGCTGCCCATTGCTACATTAGAATTAGAGGCAACCCCATTCAAGCAGTATTAGATTCGGGCGCTGCAGTAAGTATAATGACGAAAAAGCTCATGGAAAAATTAAGGTTGAAATAGACAAACCATCGTCTACGGTGGTAATCACGGCAACCGGCACGAGAACACGAGCACTAGGGCAAATCGAGGATGTAAAGGTGGCTATCCAAGATACCCTACTACCTAGCACCTTCCAGGTTATTGAATCGATGGATGAAACCCTACTGCTTGGCAACGACTGGTTTCAAAGAGCTCAAGCGCGAATTCACTTCAACGAACAATGGCTGTTTCTTAAGCATGACGGTAAAAGAATCGAAGTACCCATCTCTAGTGATGGCACAAAGAAGCTAGAAGTTCCAAAAGAAAAAAACCAGACTGGTAGCGATAGTGGAGACGAGTTCGGCGAATACACCTACGAGGACGAAGAACTAGTCGAGGCAGAAGGGTATTATACGAAAGGAGCCATTGAAGAACCCGACGATTTGTTCTATAACCCGTGGGAAGAATCGACAAGCCCAGCATTGTACTTGATGAATGTAGAAAAAATGCTGATGAAAGATGACGACGAAACCGAAGTATGGTAGAAGAACGGATAGAACAGTTCCTCCAGAATGATAACCTTGATAAAGAAGACAAGAAAAAAGCAGCGTTGTTCTTTAAACAGAAGAGGACCCTGTTCGCAAGTGATATATGAGAACTTGGAGAGACAAATGTGATAACCCATCGGATCGAGACCACTGGTGCTAAGCCGATAAAGCAGAGAGCATATAGGGCAGCACCCAGCGAACACGAATTTATTGAAAATGAAGTAAAGAAAATGGAAGAAAAAGGA